AAATCAGAATTCAAAATAACTGCGTAATTGAAAATTCTATCTTTCCCCTTGACAAAATACATGGAACAAAATGTTTTATGCTTTGCATTATATTCCCCCTGTGGCTCAGAAAAATCAGGTCCTTTCTAAGTTTTCTTATGAATGAAATAGGTTCAAAAGTTTTAAGGCAACATTTTACCCCTTCATTGTCCCACCTCCTCCTAAAATGAGCTGAAAAGTTTATTTTTGTGTCATCAAGATGCTACAAGTCCCACATAATACCCTCAGAAGACAAAAGTATGATTTTTTTGCTTTACAATTGGTAAAATATGTTTTATCGATGTGTAATCTCTGAGGTTCAAGGAAGTTGCCTAATCCTGGTTTACGGGTTAAGTGAATGTTACAGAAATATGGGCAATCTAGAAGAATTTCTAAAGATTTTGTAGGCTGGAATATTTTGCAAGCTTCAGGTGAAAAGAATAGGAAAACAAGTTGCCCAAGGAAAGCAAGTTTGTCAGATAATGTCAGTGGAAATGAGTTATAATATCCTTAGGCCTGAAGTAATACTAAAGTCTAATTATAGCAATCAATTGAGCTTAAACTAGAAAAACTCTTAGCCCACATAATGAAGAAGTCATCAAGTGAAGAACAATAGATACTGAAATGTATGATAACCTTGCATTCATTACTGACACTCAGATTTCATCTTCTTGTCACATATTCATTGTGTTTATTTGGTTCAAATAATTTCTTCAAATTTAATACCCGCTCTTCATCAGCTTCAAAATGAAGGCACAAAATGCAAATTATCATCTGAATTGCTTTTCTCAGAATGGGTCATCTTAAGTATTTGTTCTTTTCAAAAGCAAGTTGAGGATGCAATTCATTATACCCTTGAATGTGAAATATACTCTTTTTTCCTTTTTTAAAAAGATCTTTGCCTTCTTTCAGGGACAGTTCATTTGTTTATTTATGACAGTGTAAGATATTGATTTTTCTATTAGTTAATAAATGTACAATCATTATTTTGCTTACCTTGCACATTCCTCTTGCTGCTGTGGAAGTAATGCAGCTTATGGCTTGAAATTTCTAGAATTTTTTTTTTGGGGGGGGGTAATGGTTGTTGTATTGATTTTAGTTAAACTTAATAGGGAAAGCTGAATAAACAATAAGTAACTTATTGAATAAAAAATAACACTGGATTTTTACACTGAATTTTTGGGACCATGCGTTCTTTAAGCAGTAATAAAGAATTCTTTTTATCAGGTACAAAAATTCAAGACCTCAGGTTAAGTTCCAATTAAATTGATTTCTTGCTCAATGTCTATATACAAGAATACTGAATTGATGCTAGATAAGAGTTAATGAGATTCAAAAGGGGTTGGACTTAGATCATTTGTGGGAACACAACTCCAGGCTGATTTGTGTCTTTATTCCCAGCCTCTGCCTTTCCTTCTCCAATGTTTCTGTATTTGGGCACCATTTATATCTGGCACCATTATCTGGCTTTTAACACAAGCAGTTTTGGAATAAGCAGCTTCAGTACCACTTCTATGGTTTCATAATAATCAGGATCTTATCACATGTTCTAATATTTCTCCATTTAATTATTGGTATTTTTGTATCTCCTTTAAAAAAAGGCAAAGTGGAAAAAACGTTCACTCCAAAATTGGATTCTAGAAATTATTTATTAATGTAATGTTGAGAACTTTATCTGCTGTAAATATCCAGGGTTACTTCTGGGTCAAAAATATCCAGGGTTACTTCTGGGTCAAAAAATCTGCAAAAAACACTCAATTTAAATAAAATATTTTCTTTTCCCATCAATTCTTATTCCTGGAGATAAGATCATGTGAACCAGCCTACAACATCCATTAATAATATTACCAGTTTTAAAAGCAACTAACCTAAAGTAAAAAAGGAGAAAAGAAAAGAAAGAAATCAGAGAGAAAATTAAAAGTTTAAGAAAAAAAGAAAAGAAAAAAGATACAAAGTGGCTTCCAGGCTTTTTTTTTCAGCAGTTATAAGTACCATGATAAATTTATCTCTTGCTCTGAGATTACAGCATGATTCTCCTCTCTCTATAATCTATCTTGTCTGATCATCAAAGCAATACATCTAAAGTTTATTTTTTACTTTACACAGAAAATCCATAAGGGTTTTTCAAGTAGCAGTAAATGTAGATACTGTCTTTTCTCTGGTCAAAGAAGTCAATTTGGCCATCTCTTCAAGTTCTATCATCTTCATCAACCATTCTTCCATTATTGGTAATGCCAAAATTTTCCATCTTTGTACATAAAAAATCTTATACAAGAACATATTTAAAAACAAAAATTTAATGATATTTTTTCCAATTGTTTGTCCATCACTCCCAAAGAGAAAGACCACTTTCTCAATTGTATATTCATCTTTAAAACCCTTGGAACCAGTCTATGTATTTGAATCCCAAATTTCCTAATTTTTCATTTTCATCAAATATGACAAAATATCTCATCTTGTTCACATTTCCAATGTAAATTTGAAATGTCTTTATACATACTAGACAATTTCTCTGGTGATATATGCCAATAGTGCATCATTTTATAAAAAAATCTCTTTAAGATTATAACATAATATAAATTTCAGTCCTTTCAAACATATTTTCCCATTGTTCAAGCTGTATATATTAACCAAACTTTTAAAACCACATTATCATACATTCTTTCACTTGTTCTTATTCTATTTCAAATTTCAATAGTTTATTAATTTTAGCAATTATGTTCATCATTTGTACATATTTCTATTTCAGACTCCATCTTACAATATTCAATCTTACAATAAACTCTTTTTACTTTAAAACTTTCGAATAACTGTAGATAAAACAATCATTTCCAACTATATCGATTCTTCTCTTTAATTTATTTTATATTTATATTATATTCCCTTGACAAAATTCTAGTGTCTCACAATAGGTTAGCCATATACCACAGATATCCATGCCACCCAAATTAATGCTCTTCTACTCCATGAGCCTTCTATTTCTCAGCAGCACGCAATCTTTCATCCAAACTAAATAGCAAGCTGCAAAATACAATTTCAAATCAGTTAGACCAATTTTCCTTTGCATCTTGCATTTTGCAACACCCTATATTTTTCCCCTGAAATATAAATTTAAATCTATCTTTCTGCCACTGTTTAAATGATGCATGTATTGTCTAAAACAAGAGCATGATTCTAGGCAAAACATTAATTTTGATCATAGAAATTCTCCCCAGCAATGACAATTATAAGTTCTTCCATTTTAACATATCTTTTTTAAACTTCATTCCGTGTCTTAACAAAGTTATGAAATAATATGCAATACATATTTGTCACACTGATATCCAAATATTTTTCTTTCTTCTCAAAATTAAAACCTGTTTTATTCAACAATTCTATTTAATCTTCTGTTGCATATTTCTGTTAATACCTTAAATCTTCTGCTTGTTGATCTTAAAATCTACAAGTGCACCAAAACCTATTTAGTTTTCCCATTAATATATCAATTTCTTTAAGCAGGGGTGTCAAACTGCCAGCCCGTGGGCCAAAACCGTGCCCATCCCATTGCTGGCAACATGTCACATGACATCACGAGTTTGACACCCATGCTTTAAAGGATCTTTTAAAACCAAACCAAGTCATCTGCAAAAGCTTTTAATTTACATGTCTCTTTTTAAATCTTTATTCCCAAGTCTTCTCTTTTTAACTTATATCTCTATTCAGTATTTCAAGAACCAAAATAAATAGGAGAGAAGACAATGGTCATCCCTGTGTTGTTCTCTTTTGTATTTCACAAGGTTTTATTAGATCTCCACTAATAATATTTGCACTTTATGTGAAGGGTAAGTTAATTTATTTTTTTATAAAGTTCTCTTCAAGTTAATATCTTCCAAAACTTTGAACAGTTCAAATTGTCAAAGGTCTTGCTATTTTTTCCCCTATAATTATTGTCAGAACTGCCATCATATGCTTGAGCTTTGCATTCACTAGCTACCAGTCTGCCATGAAGTATGGGGGAGGGAACCAGTCAGGAATGGGGGAGATTAACTACTCATTGTACCTTCCAAAGACACCATTTCAAGGTCAAATTGCAGGGAACAGAATACAACAGCTCACCAACCAACCTGCCATTGAAGAGACAGTTCCCAAAACAATTTATTCAAATATAATTGGACAATAAGAAATCATCAAGAGGGAGGAACGGGGGAGGACCTGGATAGGGAAAGATAACGGGGAAAGTTTGGCATATGAATTTCAGTTCTGGCTTTGCTATAGTGTAAACCACTTGGCTTTTAGTAAAGAATATGTTTCATTATAAATGGAGCTGAGGGTCTTTCTTGCCTAAGGACCAAGTCAGGACAGGTCTGACAATTATATTGTACTATTACAAAAATTAGCACTATTATCTAGGAATCAGATTGGAGTTAATATATTAGTTCCAGTCAAAATCTATTTCCGAATTATATTCTCTATACTAGGAACTGAGATACTGGCATTCTTCAGTCACTTTGGATTTCAACTTCTATAAGCCAGATAAAAGTAGCTAAGGGCTGGTATTTCAGGTATTACAGTTCAAACATCTGAGGGACATCAAATTGCTGGTCAGAAAGGAATTATTTTGGAACTAATGCTGGATATTTTTAATATAGTTTACTTGCCTGTAAAAAAAATGCAGTTGGTATTTTGATGTTTTCTTTTTTTTTCTTGTCTTCCTGCTCAACCAAATATGTGACATGATCTAAGCTATCTATTAAATAAATAAAAGTTTCCATTGATTGCTCAACTAATTGACTAGACTAGCCTAGAGATGGGGGGGAAATATATTCCTCCAACACAGTTAAATGAACAGCAATGCAGCTTAATTTCATATTTTGTACAAATAAAAATTCACTCAAGGTTTAACAGCCATCAAATTGTCCATTCTTTTTCACCCAGTGATCATTTTCCTAATATATTAGAGAAAATCATTTACATTAATACACAAATGCATCCATGTACACAGACATAAAGTAAAATACACAGACAAAAAATGTCAAATAATCTGTCATGTAATCTTTATAAAATTGGGAGAAGGGAGATCTGAGACTGATACAAATTAAGACAAAACAAAGATAGAAAAAAAAAATAAAAATGAGATATTGATGATGACATACATATGTATCTTTCAAGTCCATATTTTGTATTTATCTTTGTTTTTACATACATTAACTTTTAAATTAAGGAATATGCTTTACTTTAATTTAATACACTTTACATTACTGCATAATATTTAAATATTTTCTATTACATATTTGTTTTTGCTATTGTATTCTAAGCCTAATTACCATATAGAGGGATTTTATCTGTGACTCAGAAGTCTCACAAATATCCCATCAAAATGGTCACAAAGGCTAAAATATTTTAAATGTATGGTGTTTACATATCTTATTCTCTTTTTAAACTTTTAATAAAAATATAATATGCACAATCAACAGAAATTAGAGGAATAAATATTGAAAGAAATGGAATGATAGCATACTGAGTGATGAAAGATATGAATGGGAGAAGGAGAAATCTCAAAATATTTAAGGGCAGGGAGGCAGAGAGACAAATAAAAATCAAAGTCTTTAGATTTATGGAATCTGCATGTTAAGTTATAGACATCAAGCAGAATCAACACATAGACATCCTTGATGCTTTTTCGGTGCTCATCTTTCAAAATGAGTATGGAGCCATTTGCCCAGCCCTGGTCTAATTCCATTATAGAACAGTGTTTCTTGCAATATCACTTCCTGGTAAAGAGAGGAAAGAAGATTATTATTTTTAGCTCTAATATTATTACCTAAAAATAGATATTAAGTAGATAGTAAATTGTATTGTGATATTTGAAAATCTAGGGAAAAATCACAATACAGCACACTCATGGAACTCAATAATTCTATCCATTTGAGTAAGTATTGAAAAAAAAATACTATGCTGGAAGCTCATTCTATATCTATCTATCTACCTACCTACCTATCTATCTATCTATCTATCTATCTATCTATCTATCTATCTATCTATCTATCTATCTATCTGATTGGATGCCCATCTTAACAAAGGATAACTCTGTGCAGCTTAAAATTATAATATTGAAATATTATTCATACTATTTTGATAACAGAGTGCAAGGAAACTGATAATTTTGAATGATAAATTATCAATGCACATTACTTCTAATGGGGAGCTAATATTTCTCTTCATTAGTTTCAGTTATTGTGGTACAGGTAGTCCTTGACTTACAACCATTCATTTAATGACTGTTCAATGATACAATGGCACTGAAAAAGTGATTTAAGACCATTTTTCACACAGTATCCTTGAGGTCACATGATCAAAATTTGTGTGCTTGGCTACTGGCATATATTTATGATGGTTGCAGTGTCTCAGGGTCACATGATCACCTTTTGGGAACTTCTGACAAGCAAAGTCAATGGGGAAGCCAGATTCACTTAACAACCATGTTACTAACTTAACAATTACAATGGTCAATTAACAACAGTAACAAGAAGGATTTTAAAATGGGGCAAAATTCACTTAAACAATTGTCTTGTTTAACAATAAAAGTGTTGGGCTCAATTGTGGTCATGAGTCAAAGAATATCCATAGTAGGGATTTTTGTGAAGGCTCTATTGGCATCTCCTGGCACAGGGGTAGGCAACCTTGGCTCTTTTATGACTTGTGGACTTCAATACCCAGAATTCCTGAACCAGCCATGCTGACTCAGGAATTCTGGGAGTTGAAGTCCATAAGTCATAAAAGAATCAAGGTTGCCTACCCCTGTCCTAGCATATTATCTGATGGCACTTCTCTACTGAGCCTTGGTAATCTGTCTTGAGGATTGATTGTAACTAGTTTATCTATGATCTTATGCCTCATATCAGCAGCTGTACTCTGTAATAGAGAGGGTGGTAATGAAGTTCCAGCTTCAGGTGTTGGCTGCACATCCAGTTGTTTCCTGATTTTCTTGAATATGAGATGTAATGTGTAGTTGGTCTATCTCCAGTTGAGATAGCAGCTTCCACTTCACTATGTTGAAACATTAAATAACTAGCTGTTTCTCAGTTAATGTGGATAAAGGTCTTCTGTCAATCCATAGTTTCCTCAAATGCTACATATATCCCTTTCATTAGGTCTGCTATTGTAGAAGCATTCTATCAATTCCAAGTTCTCCTCTCTTGTTCATGTATGGTTTGTTCCAGTACCTCAGTTATTAGATGTTGGTTCCTCAACATCTGACACAAATCTTGTTAATCTGGATGATGTACAAACCAGCATGACTCTCCTATTCTCTCTCTCTCTCTCTCTCTCTCTCTCTCTCTCTCTCTCTCTCTCTCTCTCTCTCTCTCTCTCTCTCTCTCTCTCTCTCTCTCTCTCTTATATTTTGAAGTAGGTAGGTCTACAGGTAAGATAAGTATCAGTTGGAATTTGAATTCTGGACTCCTGTGCCAAAGGTGGTGCTTTAAACACTATTTATTCCTTACATCTATCTGTTCTCTCTCTCTCTCTCTCTCTCTCTCTCTCTCTCTCTCTCTCTCTGTGTGTGTGTGTGTGTGTGTGTGTGTGTGTGTGCATGCGTGCATGCGAGATGCTTCAAAAGTGAAATGGAAGAAGTGATTTATGTTCACCAACTCTCTGCTGTTTAGTAAAGCATCCCATCTTCTTTTCAAGCTTCTCTGTGAACTTGGAAAAACTTATCTGGAGAGTGAGCCAGTCCCCAGTAATATTTATATCATCTTCTTATTCAAATACACTCATTTCCCCTACTTGCACTGTATGAAATGGGGCATTTGTGCAGTACTATTTTTAAGATAGATGCATTAAATTTTTCTATGTTCAAAGACAGCTCCTTTAGAAGAGGCTGCTGTAAACCAAATAAATGTATATTTTCATTTGCTGAACTACTACATATATGAAACTTATGCAAACTTTTAATTATGGTGCAATGCAGTATTGCAGGCTAACTTTGCCTATTGCCAGGAGTTTGATCCTGACCAACTCAAGGCTGACTCATCTTTCCAAGGTCAGTAAAATGAGGAGCCAAATTGCTGAGGGCAATATGCTGGTATAGTGCTGTAAAGCACTATGGAGCAGTATAAAAATCCAAGTGCTGTTGTTATTACATAAACATTTTATTTCCATAATTTATTGGAACTTTAACATTTTGATACTATGTACAAACTACTTCCCCTCCCTTACCCTGCATTGCTGTCTCATATCCCAACCATCCTATCTATCATATCTTTCTTAAGTTACCCAACCCATTTCATGGATATTAGGCCAGGAAACGATGAGCTGGAGAAGGATGTTCCCAGTGGAAATCACTACTTGGCTACCTTTTTGTGTCTCCATTCCTTTTCTTTTTTGTTCTTAATATATTTAAACTTGAGATCTTCCTGTAAAGAAACACAATACCAATAAAGTGTTTAAATTTTATTTCTCAGTTATTTAGCCTTTGGTGACCTAATTTCAAGAACTCCTTAATTTTATAATCCTTTCAAGATTTCATGAATCAATTTATATATTTTTACTTAGAATAATCTATTTAAAAACAAGTCATCGTATATTGTCAGTGCAGGACACATTATAACTGAATAATTGTTCCTTAATAAGAATAATGGTACCCTTATTAAATGGATAGTACCAAAGCATAGACATAGGTTTTCTTCAGAAGACCCAGCAATTCTGAATTACTGCATTTTTTTTTACTTCATCAGTAAGGCAGAAAGTATTAATTTTTGTTGGTAAAAGCAAAATGGAGAGATAAATTGTGGAGAGATATACATATATATATATACTTAGTGTAGTAATATGTATTTATGGTGCTAAATTAAACTTTTTTATACTTACCAAAGAATAAACTAGACTGTGCTTTAAGAAGTACTTCTAAAATATTTTAAACTTTTACTACTATGAATAGACAAAAGAGTAAACTGTTGTGAATGATCTGCTTGCAGAAAAAGCAAGAAAATTATATACTATTACTGTGACGGAAGTATGAAGGAAATTTTAGTTTGAATATGTAACATAGATTTATTTAAGAAAATGGACTATTGATATAGTGTGTAACCATAATTGATAAAATCTGTTTTTGAGATGAAAACTATTGTTTTTTTAATTTTTTAAAATTTTAAATTAAATAGCAACAGAAAAAGACAAAACAAATACAATTATGATGTAAATGCATATATTCTCAATGAAAATACAATGCATAAATATATTTAAAAGATAAAAAAACAAAGTATATAATTTTAACAGTTAACCCTTACAATTCAATTAACCCTTACAATTCTGTATATATATTTATCTAATGTAAATATTCAAGTGCATATATATTTATTTTTAATTCACTTATGTAACTAACATTCTTTTTCACCTACTGTATTTTGTATAAATGTCCCATATTTCATTATACTTGTCCATTCAAATTCCAAATCTTTAGGCTTCTAGTGGCAAGCATAATCAGGTTTTAATCATTTATCTTTCCAATGCTACAGTGTAAAACCTATGTAGTAGGTTCTCATGTTCAGTTCTTGGATGCACATCTCTTTCCCGGATGGAGAAAAAAATATCGTACACAATTTGCAAACTGTCACACAGTGGAAAGGGTAATCAGTGTTGCTAAGAAACTAGCAGCAGCTGGGAGTTAGAAAATGACAAATGGGAAAAGAAAAGAAGCTGGGAAAAGCAGAAACTTACAAGGTCAGCCACTTTAGGCTCAACTAATGCCAGTCGCAGGCCACTTTAATGGAAAGCAGAATGTTCAGAATTAATTAATTCCGATGACAACTGGGTAAATAAGGACATTTGTGCAATGCTTTTGAATACAAATCTCATTCATCAACTATAATTTTATCATTGCTACCTCCCCCTCCTATGCAAATATGATTACTAATCCTGCCACCTACACACACCCATATCCAACATGCTATTCTCTTTCACAATAAGCCACATATGTGAAGCACAGAAAATGAATAAGAAATAGTAAGGGCAAAATTAAAGAGATGAACAGAAGAAAAGGAATATAGCTGAACAGTTTGTATTGATTCCATTCACTATACCTCTCCATATCTTTCCACTTTTGTAAACCATCCATGCTTTCAAAAATCTACACAACCCTTCCCCTTTGCCCTTTAAAACTTACACCTGTCCTTTTGGGAGAGGGTCACATTGATCCATTCCAGCCATGATTTTCTTAGTCTTCCCCTTTCCTCTTATCCATTCATACTTCATATATTTATTGTGTGATTTGATCCTAATTCATTTTTTCTTATGCTTTTGTTTATTGATTTTTTTCCTACATTATGGTTGTCACCCAACATTACATAATGTAAACAGTTGTATAAATCTAATAAATTAATAACACTTTCATTCTGTTGCTCACTTTAGTATTCAATCCGCATTCCTTTAAATACCCATCATTTCTGATACTATTCTTTCTTGTCAATAGCACACACTTTTTAAAATAGTTATCCTCTTTGTTATGAGGATCAATGGCTATGACAGTCATGGAACCAAAAGTTTCTAGTCCTGTTTGGCTGCTTCTGATTAAATAGATGGCTTCCCTGTACAGTTGATTGGCCCCTGTGAGATTAGACTATTGGAATGCATAGACCAGGGGACCAATCTAGTGAGGCACTACTTATGTTCTTATGGTTCCCTGATATACGCAACACTTATTTCTATCTAACAAGGTAAGTAGAGGAAGCTCTTATACATGATCATATTTGGTTCTTTGGCCAAACATTCATTCTTTGCAACAAACAAGTTATTAATCACATTTTTTTTTGTCAGCATACACATGTCTTAAATGAAACTAGGAAGATTACACAGCCAAATTAATTCTCTACAGGTTAACATATACATTGGATTAACTCAAGTGCTAGAGGAGATAGTTGTCCAGGCAATGTGGGGAAAAAGGACTAGCAGGGAAAGGTAATTTGTAAATTGGCATTCAAACTAGTTAGCAAACAAAATCCATGAAATTTAAACATTTATTGAAGGATTTTATAAGTAACTTATTTAACTAGAGTAACTATATTGATTTTATTTGGAATTCTGGGAATGATTATTGCCTTCTCTTGTTTTCTCTACCTATCCTTTTCATATCTTTATAAAATATTTACATATTTAGAGATTTAGCTTGATAGTGTAAGGCAGCGGACTCCAACCTTTCCAATTTTGTGAACTGGTGGGTGGGAGTGGAGATGGTTCCTCATGAGCATCTGGAGAGCCTATGCATGCACACAGCTCCATTTGCACAAGCAGCAGGCATGTGTGCCCATTGCTCACACAAATGGAGCTGCATGTCCACGCCCTCCCACCACAGACTGGTAGTGGGCCACAGCCCAGAGGTTGGGGACCCATGGTATAAGGGTAATGGTTACAATAATGGATTAGCATTTGTGAGAACAAGATTCTAGCTTATCTTTAACCATAGAAACTCACCAGTGACTGGCGATCAGTCTCTCAGTCTTTCATTACAAACTACCATACATAGTTGTTGCAGAGAAAAATAGGAGGAGTTAATGTAGGCCTGGGCATTTTCACAGCCTTTAGGCCACATTTGGCCCTTTGGCTGTCCCTATCCAGCCGGTGTGAGGTCAATCAGAAATTAGAAATCAAATGTAAATGTATCATGTATTCTTATGAATAGCAGCTAATCAAAATCATAAAATTTTGCACAGCAACCCAAATTTCTCATATGGCCCTTTGAGAAAATTAATTGTCCACTGCTGAGCTAAGTTGATATCTACTTCCTAGAATTCCTAAGGAAAGCAAGCAAGAAAGAACATGGTTAAACAACCAGGTATGAATTGCCAAAATCCACTGAACATCAGCAATGAAATAATAATCGTAAAAAGAATTAAAATATTACCCAACTTACAGCAATTCTGGGCAGTGTAGAAATTGTTAAAAACATTTAAAAACAAGAAAACAGCACAAAATAAAAAGAACAAAAATGGTAGAGATAACAACACCTGGGAACAAAAAAAGAAGACAAAGAAGCTTCAAATAAAGAAAACTCCAATTCCATCACTCTCTAGTTGCCAGAATTTTGCAGCCCAGAAATGGAAGCCCTAACTAAAGTGATAATAATATTGTCAATAAAATTTGTAAGCCTGATGCTTCCTTGTCTGCTTAATAAATTCATAATGCAGGATCACTGTGAATGACTTTGAATATAGTCCGTCTTATCCTAAATTACTCCTGAACTCCCCCTTACACAAATCAAAAATTAGTATTCATGTGGTTTTCCTTAAAAGTAATAAAAATATTGAAGAAAAGGAGGGGAATATTAAGTTTAAGCTTTTAAAATATATATGCATTAATTCTACATTAAAATCTTAATGAAATTATAAAATGCATAAATCCCAATGGAAAAATTCAAATGCTACAGCATGTAAAATTACTTTCCACCACAGACATTTCTAGCACTTCAAGACAATTCCTAATAGCCACAGAACAACCATTAGTCACTCAAAGCAATACAATCATGCTTCAGTTTTCTAACAGATATGAAAAAAGACAATACTTAAGCAATTTAAAATAAAAAATAAAAAAATTTCCACTAGGTAAGAATTCAATCTTTCATTTTAAAGGGTAAATGGCTTCAATAACAAGTGAGATTTGATGCATTGAAAGAAACAATGGCTACAATTCTAAACCATTTTCAAATATTTCTTCCTGGTATTCCTAACAGATACTTATTTAATTTTGAAATCCCTGCTTTTCATCCTCTAACTCCTTCTAAATATCCCCAGAACAGAAGGCAATGGCCCTTCCAATCCAAGCAATTAAAAAAGCAAATGTATTTTTGCATACATCATATTTTTCATGCAATATGATCCGTAATGAATGAAAGTTTTCTCAAGATCGAGAGTTTGACATTTCTTTGAGTAGTTTCATATGGGTCAAGGATTCTGCACAGCATAACAGCATAATGGTTGCCATGGTAGCAGCTTATCAGCCAATTTCTAATTGCTCATGACCCTGAGAAATGCCAGCTTGTGCTGGTATAGCTGCTATTTGGGGCTTGAATCCAGCAGAACACCTACTAAATGGAGAAGGGTGGTAGGAAGATATAATACCTCAAGTTGTGCTAACCAGGAACTTGGATTTCTACCCATTCTTGCTGGCTGCATACAGTGGCAGCTCTTGAAATATCTTGAAACATAATTTTGAGGAAGTTCTAAGAAGCAGTTTTAGGAGAAGCTGAAATTCAGGCAAGGTTAGAAAACCTTTCTCCGTAAACAGGATCCAAACCCTGTCTTATCTTGGTAGTATGTATCAGTACAATTTAGAGCAGTGAGCAATCTAAGGAGCGTTAGCAATATACTTTAGTATGTAATCTCAAATATATTTTTAAAAGGCCAACACAGACCTTTTACTGACT